ATTTCAGTGAATACCTCCTCAATTGTCATGCTCTCCTGATACTTTTTCAAAACTTTCGAATTTTTCAATTTCAGCGAATGCGTCCTCAAATGTCATGCTCCCCTGATACTTTTTCATAAATTTCGAATTTTTCAATTTCAGCGAATGCCTCCTCAAATGTCATGCTCTCCTGATACTTTTTCAAAAATTTCAAATTTTTCTATTTCAGTGAATACCTCCTCAATTGTCATGCTCTCCTGATACTTTTTCAAAAATTTCAAATTTTTCTATTTCAGTGAATACCTCCTCAATTGTCGTGCTCTCCTGATACTTTTTTGACAATTGTGAATTTTTGAATGTCGGTGAATACCTCCTCAAATGTCATGCTCCCCTGATACTTTTTTAGAAATTTTGAATTTTCACATTTCAGTGAATACCATTTTTGTAACCCAGAGAATAACATTCCCCCGTCGATTGGTCCCTCTGACAGTGGGACTGCTACTGAGGCAGTTACCGATTCGGCTGATGGGCAGACACTCCAGGATTGCGTGTGGCACCCTCTCTCCCTTGGAGTGAGGTACTACGATGCCGGTGGAGTCACTCAAACCCCCAGAACTGAGCTTCTACTTGAGTCAATCCTCTTTGCTATCCTCTTTGGGGCTTCCACTTTGTCCACTTGGTCTTCGCTTGCCGGCACTGCCTCATCCCGTGCCTCTTTTTTAACGAATAATTATTAAACCACCAAATAAACATGACTGAAAACAAGGAGAGAACCTTCATCATGATCAAGCCCGATGGTGTCCAACGGGGACTCGTTGGCCAGATTATCCAGCGTTTTGAACAGAAGGGTTTCAAACTGGTCGCCATGAAAATGGTTTGGGTGAGTGCATTCGATTTATTAGTCTTCTTGCACGTGTTCTCATTAGGGAATTCGATATTTCATTTCTTTCTAGTACTACTCTGCTCGAAATCGATAGTCAAGTATTGTTATCTTTTATCTAAAGAACACATGTGTGAGGAGAGTGGGGATTTATGCAATCTTCAAGGACATATGGAAGTTAATTATTGCGTTAAGAACATTGGCTACAGATTGATTCTGATTTAATCGCAAAGTCAAGTGCGTTTAGATATTTAAGTTCAATTGCTGGTTATGTATAACATTCTACTCCAATAGAGATGAAATATTTCCCTAGTTTAGTAAATTTTTCTTACAATATTCCTGAACAATATCTCTCCATGTCCTCCGAGAATCGTTAATTGGATCTTGTCAATTTTCGTTTAGCTTTCATGTTATTGATTCGAGCTACAAAGAAATGTGACTGACCTGGGCTGATTACCGCGTCATTAAGAGTAGAATATTATCTTTTATCATTTAATTTTTCCTTCATTAGCCTTCTGAGGAGCTTCTGCAGAAGCACTACGCCGACCTTGCCAAACGTCCGTTTTTCCCTGGCTTAGTCAAGTACATGAGCTCTGGCCCGGTTGTTCCAATGGTGAGTAATCAAATAAAAATGTCAGTGGTTCAATGATAAACTGTTACATAATCTGTTTATTCAGGTCTGGGAGGGACTCGATGCTGTCAAGACTGGTCGTAAGATGCTCGGTGAGACCAATCCTAAGGACTCAGCTCCAGGTACAATTCGTGGGGATTTCTGCATCCAGGTGGGCAGAAACATCATCCACGGATCTGACTCTGTCGACTCCGCAAAACACGAGATTGGGTTGTGGTTCGGTGAGGACAAGAAGAGCGATGTTATTGATTGGGCTTCCTGGGCTGAGAAGTGGATCTACGAATAATTACCTGATCTTTTGTAAAGATTATCATAACATTCGCAATTTACTGAGAATTCAATGAAAATAACTTTTCCGATATTACCTTGTAATTATTGCTATATCCACCAATTGATTCCTGACGAAATCGACCAAGTTCTTTCGATCAATCAATTATTAATAATGATTAATAATAATTAATTATAATTAATCATTTCCTTCAGTCAACACAATCATTAGAAAAAAGTTCACCCAAGTGAATGCAGTGAATCACCTGTGCGACAGTACCACATGCCAGGGCATTGAACCGTACCTGCGAAATCACGCGCTGTTAAATATACTACCTGTTACAGGTATAATACCTGTTACCTGTGGATTCTTAGAAATACTGGGAGATTGCTCCCACAGGTGGCAGTTGTCGTCCAACAGCAACAGGTGAAACGGTACAATAGATTTTCGGTTTCTCGATTCCGAAGTTTATTTCAGATTCGAAGTCTTGCGGCTCAATTTATCCTCGAAATCGACTTTATTTTTTCTATTAGAAAAAATTGGTTCCAAGGATTAAGAGGCAAGCGATAATAAAGAATTTGAAGAGATTTTGGGATGGGTTCACCTAATAATTCAAAAATAACAAAAACTGGTGTTTTTGTAAAAGAAAACTCAGCCAAGTAAAAGTTTCGCACAATTGATTCCGTGAAAAATTCGTGTTTTGCCAAAATATGGCATTCCTAGATATTTTAAAAACTCAGAAAATGTAAATGAAAATGCCAAGAAAAGTGATACGAGTCGATAGAAAGGATTCAATAGCCAAGTGATAAACTGGGAAAAGCGTATTTTTTTTACTGAATGCAACGAAAAAAGAGCTACAAAAAAAATATCTGAAAATATTGTTACCATCCTCGAATTTCCATATATCGACTAAAAACTTGTCTCGAGAAAAGTGCACTCATCCTGGCTTACAACTTCGTAACAGAATAAACTACAGAAGAGTCGGAAATAGAATCAATAATGCCATTTAGCAATTCAATTAATCATCTTTCCTCTTGATCGCGAGGACATACGTCGTTGCAGAAGTTTGGGATTTATCTATCGTCTATACAGGCATAATAGTACAGCTATGGCGTAATATTCCACGATTTTTTTATCCTTATTTTTTTCAACCTAATGACATAGCACAACCAATTTTTTTCCACGTCGCGACGTGTATTCTTCAGCAGATGCTGTCTGGATGAAAATCCATGAATATGGGGTTCGAATTAGATTATTCTCGAATAAATTACATCATGAGTCGCGTTACGTTAAGAGAAAACGCTGTCATTGGTCCCCGTACAAAAAAATTATCAAGATTATCCAATCCCTGAAATACCTAAATCTGTACTACAGAAGGACACGCGATACGCGCCTATTGTTTTTTATCTTTTGCTCTTCTATAATTTTTCGTTGATCTCTTTAAATTTTATTGTAGCAATAAAATCACATGATCATTACTCTAATCAGTATTTATTGCGCGTAATTGCGAGTTAATATGAACCAACAAGTTTTTATTTAAATTCGTGAAGTAGAAATCAGGACTATGACTATCTAAAATAATAAACGTCTCGTTGAAAATCATTTAATTATTATTGAATTGGACAACTGAAATTCCACTCTCAAAGGACTGACGCAGGAAATAGCCGAATGACGCCAGCACGAGAGCAAAGATAAATTTGTTGAATTAATACTAACAAGTCTAAGAAAATTACATCAATAAATATTAACTGAGTGACAATGAACAAATTCCCGATTTTAAGGCCTGTCATCTAACAAGTTCTGAAGTCCACGCGGGGAACCGTTTGCTGAAGATACGTATTCAAATGAGGAATTTTATCGGGCGGGGAAACCCCCTGGCTTTATCAGAAAATACATTAACTATAGCCGTACATTCGGGCTTTGGGGGTAATTTAGTAATTTTATGACGGGGGCATAATCAGGGAATAATTTCGAGAGATCTCCGATAGTCGATCTGCCTCCCGAGACATAGGCTCAAATTTCGGTTAAAAAAATTCCATACACACCGATTTGTTCGAACAATTTTCTTATTAGTTTCAAATCCTTGTATTCATACGTGCGACTTGTTAAACCCAAGATAATCAGCGTTTAGTACATTAAAAATGTCACATCAATGCTCATCAAGACCCGATTGACGCGCAATATTTGTCTCTTCTTGAACGTCATATATTTTTTTTTTTCATCAATTGACTACTGTTCTGCCTTATGTGGATAGCTTTACGATTTGTGGAAAACTGAAAAGACATTGTCATCATGAATTACCACTCGATATTTCGCACAGAATTTTTTTCTCGAGAACACACATGTGGGCTGACCACATCCAGGACAACAAGTGAAAACAAATACCACTGAATAATACGCGAGTAAAAAGATTTGCACACGTCAGTGGTACCGACAGACACATCAATATATTTTTATAATCACAATTATTGATTCAACTATCACCTCAATTCCAACGTCATCATAATATTTCTTTTACGTATATCATATATATATCTATATACATCTGAGAAATAAAAGAAAATAAAAAAAGGCAGGATAGAGGTGAATAAAAATGGGATTCCCCGAAGTGCGTTGCATTTTTACCGGCCATTGACTGCAATCATTTGAAATCCCCAAAAAAACATCAACGAAAACCTCGACCGGAGGTCATCTTAGGCGAAAAATAACTCTCCTAAAACCACTGAAGAACTCTTCGTCGAAGTTGTCACTCGGTAAAACGAAAAGCTGAAAGTGATTTTAAATTGATGCTAAAAAAGTTTGGGCTGCACGAGAATAACAGATTCCAGCGATTGAAAATATTAAGAGAAAAAAAAATAATCCACGGTCACTTGTTGGCACTTTCCACTGTGGAATCTTGGAGTGGGTTGATGGACTACAACCCCAATGAGACGAAACAACACCTGTAAAATCCCATGATAAATGGTTGTCGTCCTTCGAGTGTAAGGTCGAAGGGAAATACATGAACCAGTAATTATTCCCCACATGATACAGCAAAGTGATCATTTAATCATGAAAATTCATGAAGGTATTGACCCATATAATATCTAGGACTTGATCATTGACGTTGGCACCTAGTTTTCCATGATAAATATCCATTTTCTTCGTAATAATTGCATTTACTTTACATAACAACTTGACAGTATCGAATTCCTTTGAAATCATAATGATGCTGATGAAGTGGGATTGGTATTTCATAAGTGACTCAGGGGGAAATGGGAGACACAGGTGAAAATGAGGATGAAATACTCGCGAGGAAAATGAGGGCAATTTACTGTTAACCTGCAGAGGAACTCGGCTTCAAGTGCATCAAGGCATTCATAGCGATAGTGGATGATTTGTCGAGGGGAGGAGTTCATCACCTAATAGTGTATTAATGCCTATTAATTCCTATTAATACCTATTAATGCCAAAGTGCCAATTAAATAATTCAAGTCTTAGAATTGATGAGAGTCTTGGTGAGTGATAGGTGGACATCAGGATAAAATATCCATTAAATTTATTTGACGCAATTTTATTGATTTATTTCCAAGGGAACTTTCCGATGAAAAATTCACGAGGACTGAGAAAGTTGTGGATAGCGTTCAAGGGTTGAGATAAAATGGTGAAAGCCTGTCGCCCTTGTCCCGTCAACTTCTTCAAGGTCATCCTCCCATTATTCGCCATTTTTTTTATGTCGTATCAATTTGGATAAGATTGGACGGCTCGCTGGAGAAAAATATTGTCCGACTGGAGAAATGCGATAGGGAGGAACGAGGCAAGTGGCACGACGTGTTCTCCATCCAGAGAGCGCAGATAAAAAGTTATAGGGCACATCAATTGATCGATATCAATGCAATTTTTAATCTCACTTATTGTTTTACCAATGGCATTTCCCCTCTCATGAGAAAATCTATCATCGCCGCGCGATCCGTCGTTTAATTACGTTTCGGTAAATAATTTTTTGCCGCAGGAGGAATAATTGAGAATGCATATTTCGATCGGTAATTCAATCATGTGTTTTTATACCTATTTGCGCACTGAATGCGTAATTCGTATTGAGAATTTTAGTGAAACCGCACTTGTGATTAATTAGGAAGCGTTTTATGTGATGTTATTAGTCGCGCTGTTAATTACTCAATTATATGATTAGTGAATCATTGCAGTGATGATCAGGTGTTGTTTGCTCTTCCAGATCTAAGAGGATATGAAGAACTCCTGGTCTGACAGGTGACAAAGTATTTCAGGATCAAATCTTGAACTGAATCTGTTGAGTATTATAATATCCATTAAAAAAAAAGTCCTTCGATCCGAGAAAAATGAGAAATTCAATTGCGCAAGAAGCTTCCTCCGTGTGACGTTGCGCAAAAAAAAAACAATATACTTGAATCCAGTATATTTTAATTATTCATTGTACATTATAGAATCGAATGGAATCGATTCTCCGTTTGAAAATAATTCAGATATAACGAGACGTGTCACGGTGATCTTATTTGAATAATTATTATAATATTTATGTATAAAAATATTCTAAAACATTACGAATTAATTAATTATTATTAATTATTATTAATCAATTCATTATTCAGCGTTTTTAAATATTAAATTTGCATTAAATTTAATTTTATCAACTGAACTCACTGTCCTAATTATAGACTTGCATTATAAAATAAAAAATCATTCATCAAGGTTATATTAAATATCAAATTTTATTTATCGAATAGATTTCATCGGCAGGCGCCCTGTGATTGTTTCTAAAAAATTCCAGTAATTCTTGTAATGAGATGATATATTAATGAGGGAATTGGGTGAAGTACAAAATATATTAGAATTTCAAAGAATTTATAATTAGAATTTAGAAAAAAATTTATTAGAATTTTTCAGGAGAATTCTGAATATATTGAGACAATGGGTGACAGTTGACCCGTGAGGTCAGCCCTAACGGTTTTCCCCGTCGAAGTTCACGTGCTTACTAGCATGAGGATCCACTCTGGAGGATCAAGGCCAAGATTGCAATATTGACGTCAATACCCTGTAGGGTATATTCATCTTGAGAATGAGAGGGACAAAAGAAGGAAAAGTAAACCGGTTGAGTGAGCCTCAAAATTCACCACTTTTCTCTCTTTGTTGGCTTCAAATGATTCAAATCTCCACGACTTCTGCAATATAATCAGAATAGATGTTTGTTTTTCTGAGAAATGAAGAAAAAAAAAAGAAAATAATACGGATTATAAAAAACTGTTATTCCAAACTCAAAGATGCTAATTTCTTATGACTTTGTTCAATAATTATTCCTGTGGTTTTTAGAGTCCACGCGTTTTTTCCCGATCGTTAATTCAACATTTTTGAGAGCTCACTGTTATCATACATTTAATTAATCATTTATTGTGACAATGAATGAAGAGGATTTTTGAGAGGAAGGAAATTTACATTTTTTTATTTTTCACGTGTGCAAATATTGCGGAGTCATTCTCACGCTTTCGAAAGAGTTTTCCGAACAATTCTGGAAATTTTCTATTACGCAATTATTCGTGATAAACTCCTCGATGGTGAATTGATGAAAAAAAAAAGTTATCAAATGGTACGGTGATTAGATTGAAAGGTGGTAGTCGATCGTGAGTGGAAGAGCCCCGAGAAAAATGCGAGAATTATTTCATAATGCACATACATTATCCAATAAATTCTTATGTGTATGGATTTCTTATTCAATGATGACGTCTAACGAATTCAATTTCTACTCTGATTGATTCAATCTGCATTTTTAGTGTACAAACGAGATAACAGAGCGTCAACAACCGTTGGTGTAAAGATCGAGAACTTTGTTTCTTTATTTTTCCTTTTATTTTCTTCATCAATTTTTAATTTCTGTCTTCACGAACAATTGGATGTGAATATTTCAGTCAGAGTCCAGTACACCAGACTGTTCAACTCATTTATCCCTGAGATTCTTATAAGAAATGGATTCCTTTTATTTTTTACAAAATTCTCCACTGCATTCTGTTTCACCGAAATTCGAGTGGGAAAATCATTTCTCAATAATCAATCGTACGTTGTAATTAATTAAAATTTGACACAATGATTTTTAGATAACGACGCTATCAGGGAATTTAATTATGGTCATTTTAAAATTTTGAAATCACTATTATCAACTATTATTTAAAAAACCACAGATTATTAACCCGAATGTTCTACGTCACATATTTCTTACATTTCGACAAATCTCTCTATAAAAAAACTTCTGCAACTTCTTCTCTCCCTGTAACAATGTCAACATCCTAATGTAATGACTCATATTGTTTGCACATGAAACCGACAAGTAATCAAATTACTCCCAAAAGTCTCACAGAATGTCAATTAAACATTCAGAGTTTCGCAGAGATTCAACGAAAAGTTTATAGTTGAGGTGAAATAAAATATAATTATGTACATAATGCGGTGTATATATGATAATACATGAGGATAGCTAATGAATCGTTTCTAAGTGCTTGATGAAAAACAATGAATTTAGCAGAAGTACTTTTTTTTTGTGAGTGGATACCACAAGGTGAGTAGACCTCCACCTCACGCCCCCCAGAATCTTCCATTCCCCTGGATGACGCAGGTGCATCCAACCAAAGGATCAAGACAACACAGTTGGGGGACATGTGATTTCCTTTATATCAGGGCACTCCACCGATCGCACCTCATTTATGTATCCCACCAAAGTACGAGTGTTATCCTCTTGTCTCGAGAATTCGCTTGAAAGTGATTTCGATGATTTCAATGTCAACGTGAGAACATCATAGACTATCCATATAGTCTCCGGATATATTTCGATATCAACCAATACGGATTATCCCCTAAAATCGGTGAACCGATTTATTTATTACGATATACCCGTTGACAACTGTCTCTCCAGTTTGTTGAATAATGTGTTCAACTTTCTAGTACGAAAAATATTCTCTTTATTGCCGAATCTCGTGGGATTTTGAAAACCCGTGAAACCGGTACTATTTATGAAAAACGTGAAAGTGAACTTGCCGATTTTTTTTTATTGTGAGCTTTCATTGTGTCGAGATTCGCTGGTTGAGAAACGTGTGATGAAATCATTTGGGGCTTTTTGAGGAATTGAGGATTTGAGGACTTGAGGACTTCAGGACTTGAGGGTTTGAGGGCTTGAGGACTTGAGGACTTGAGGACTTGAGGACTTGAAGATTTGAAGAATTCAGGACTTGAGGACTTGAGGACTTGAAGATTTGAGGAATTCAGGACTTGAGGACTTGAAGACTAGTGCTGGTTGCAGTGAGTTATTTTTTTTTTCTTTCCGATTTTAATGCGTTTCGTCAACTCGTGGTAATGGGATCATTGAGGAATTGAACCGGAGATTGGGCAACCGGTGGTGGTCTCTTTCAATATTATGACATTTAAAATTATTGAGTGCATGTGCAGTCTAATCATTTCAAAAGTGGTAAATATGTGTGTCGATAGAGACAGGGATTCCATTCGCAGTTAATTCTGGGTTAACTTCATTTTTCCTCGGACACGATCATCAGTAATTCAATGACACTGAATTGAATTTAAAAAAAAAAGACATCTCGTGAAGTTTCCGAATTAATTTTCATTTTCTCGTCACTTTTCGAATTTCTGTGGATTTTTTCGGATTGTCTTCGAAATGAAATGTCTGTTACAAAATTCTTAAGACAAATTTTTTTTTCCCTCGTATCGAAATTTCTTGTCTAATGTTTCGCGTTTTTCCGCGCTCATGACCGCAGAGATAATTCAATAATCACTATTTTCATCACGACTAAATTTTTCTCATCGACTGGCGCACATATTCCGGAAGAGAAGATGAATCCCGGGAAAATACTCACCATTGAGCCATTAAAATCGGCAAAACGGGACACGATGGCGCATAACCGATTGCAGTAAGTAAAATCCCACGGCCGTTGTCCCACTTTAATCGTCAGACTTATCCTCTAGTAGTTGATGCTCACATCATTGAATTTGCCCTCAAAAGTAATCCGTAAAACCGTCAAGTTTACCATCCACTGGACAAGTATAATAATAAATGCGAATTACACTAAAATAAATAACCGAAGAAGATCTTCTTCGATCGAGCGTCATGTTCATTCTTGAGAACATCTCGACCACCATTTTATTAATAATTATCAAATTCCTGTTGATGACGGGAAAATATCATCGCTTCTACCGATCACTACGCAATAATCCTGAAGCCTTGGAAATTTAGCAATTGTATGCTTGCAGACCTTGTCGTTTTATTTTCTTCATCATCAGTCTCTCATTTTCACGGCGGATTAATGTGCCAGTGTTTGAACGGAGAAAATGAAAATCGAGTTATAAGTTTAATGATACGGTTTAATGTACCCGTTCTTTATAAGTTTCACGATTTGTATTGCGTAATGTGTGGCCGATTGGCGGACAGAAAGTCCGACTAATTGCTGTTCCCACAAGTCTAATCGCTGGTCTATGCATCCACTATTCCGTCAATTCGATCCCTTCAAGAGAAAAAAATCCCACGTCTCTCAGGTTTTCTGTCAGTGAATTGAAATTTTAGCTTTTTTGGATCATTCCACGATTTTATCACGATTTTCATCGATTTAACTAAAGTGTTTACCTTAAATCTAAAAACTTTCCCTCAATTTTTCAGTCACAAGTCAATTGCATGAATTTTTAATTATATGAGTCTCCATTCAATTCCAATTTCAAACTTAAAATCCGTCAATTTATTATTTATCTCGATAATTCTAAAAAATTTGATTCGTCATTAATAGTTCGTTAATTAATAATTGATTGAGACGGAAAATTCAGGGAAATTATTATCCAAAAAAATTCAAAATATCCCCAAAATGATTCGTAACTGAATAATTGTGAATAATTTCAATTTCTTTTTCACTCAATTTTTTCTTCACTCGATTTTTCGTTTTTAAATTTCACTTGAAATTTCAAGTAAAATTTTTTCAGAGTCTATGAGATAAATAAAAAGATTCTACGGGGTATCATTGATGTTTGGAATGGTTTGTAGTTAAAGGTACCCTACCACTTGTTCGGGGGGCCTCTCCTGGCGAACCGGTGAGCAGCAACGACGGGGCACCCGTCAGTGATTGCTGCACGGTGTGTTCAGCACACCGTGGTCCACCGCGCTACAAATCCAACTTGTTGCGGGACACCTTTTGCCATGCGCAGGTCGCTGCGCGCTCTTTCCAAACAATTTTCAATTTTTTATTCCAATAAAAATTCAATTATCACCCAGAATTCTCCCCTTAAATCGATTCCCCGATCTCCGGCAGGTCCGAGTAACACTCATGTTCTCATTGTTTCCATTTTCATGTCATTTTTCTCATTATTCCCATTATCCTCATTACCCTCATTATCCTCATTGTTCTCCATGTGCGGTACCACCCTCTACTCAATCTTTAACCAAGTGCAAAGTTGTCTTCGCCCCAAAGTGATTACAATTCCCAGTAATTTTCGCTCAATAATTTCAACAAGATGAATTAACCTCGTCGCTAATTAAATCGGATGATTGCGGAAGGAACAGTTAATTATTGTGTATCGGTGCATCGGTGCATTGGTGCATTGGTGGAAGGAGCTGACCGGTATTGTTTGAAGGAGTGTGAAGAGTATGTGGAGAGTATCTCATCGCTTTCTGTTTTGGAGTAACTGATGTAATTGGCTTTTACCGCGGTACATCGGATGCTCAATGGTATTTAGCTTTACTAATCGTCATTTTTTTTTTGATAATGTGACGTGGACGTGGGATAAAATTACGGGTGGATTTTCCGTTAGAGAAACTTGGTGTATTAATGCCCCTTGGGGGAATGCGACCGATGGTCATAGCCCGTTCAGTTACATAAAGTACGGATTGGATCTTACCCGGGCTGTTAACGAACTCCGTGGTACCCCGTTCTTAAGGAGCCTCCAACTTTATTACGTAAGTCAATAACACTTGTACTTTTTCTCCGGGATAGCACCTTCAGTGTCAATTGTGGTTTGTCGGTTTGTCGGTTTTTCGAGACGATTGCCCATTCCTCGATTTTTGAGGTTTTTATTATTTCGATTTACTAGTTTTCTTTTAGTTTTTTCATGAGATTTCAAGGATTCTGGTGAATTGACCATGTAAATTCATTTTGCATCTGAATTTAGGCAGTTTTACGGGGGTATCTATTGCACGGGGGAAATATTTAATGAAAATTGGGGTGACTTAGTTGGGCTGCTTTACGATTATGGAGGTAATTTAAAAAATTACAAAGGCGGTATCGCCATTCTTCACAGAATATTATAAATAATCAATATATCAATGATTGATATATGATATATGGTAATTAGTAATAAAGACTAATTTAGTCGTTTCTACTGAATATTTGTGAGATGAATTGAAAATAAATAAAATATCTATTTTCGCAGCGATAAAAATGGAAGTTGGGAAATTCTCTCTAAAAAAAATCTAATACTTCGGTACAGAATTTTTCTTCATACATTCTCGCATTAAAAAATCACTGAATTTTCCAAGGACACAGATATTGTAATTTTAGGGTATGTCCTCGCAAGGATATTACTTTCCAATCTCAACCTCGGAGCTTCATGGTAAAGGTCGAGTTGTGGCAGAATATTTTTTAAAATGCATTTTTTTTCTTCGCTGTTCCGGTGGAGAATGGGTTATTCCGATGATTGCAATGCATTAACGACGGAGCTTCAGTAGAAAAAAAAAACCGGTAAACAATAACGGTGGATAAAAATCATGTAGCATGAGAGAAAAAAGGCGAACGGTTGAGGTTTGTCGTGACCTGTCAACTGATGAATAAAAAAACAGGCGGGAAAAACGCATGGAATGGCATATGGATCAACTTCTTACGATGGTTCATTAATTGCATATTGTTTTTTTTTCGGTTTATTTACTTATGTTTGACGGGTGACCTCAATATTCCAGAATTGATTTGATCAATTCCATTCTAGATTGAGATTCAAAGAAGACAAGGCGAATAAATGTAGGTCAATGCATTTCAGCTGGTCTTGTCACATAGGGATAAATCTACTTCAATACCTCACACCATTTTTCAGAGCTGCATTACTATTTTTTTTTCATTACTTTACATTATTTTTCCGTCATTCCGCAGCGAAATTCATTTAAAAACAATTTTATGGAATTATTCTCGAATTTTTTTCAGAGTGTTTTGTCATTTTTGCGGAATTTTCTCTGACTTACGATATCACTACGAAAATATTCTTAATAATTTCCGTAATAATTTCGGAGTAATATTTGCATATGAGAAACCAAAAATTATTTAATTTGTTGAATTCTATTGGACGATAATATACATAAAAAATGAGAAACATCAATTTGATCTATCACAATTGTTACAAGAACAATTTGTTATCTGAAAAGATCTAGATCCTCGAAAAATCCAATAAAATGAATAATTATCGTTAATTCGATTTATGGAGGATTTATTACCCCCCGTGAATAACGCGATTTCAAGGAGAAAATACCTGCAAATAAAATATTGCATGTACAAATTGCAGAATCGCGTTAGAAGACTCAGTAGTCAATTAATGGTATCATAAAAGAAAGAGCGAACGCACAGAGAGGAGCGGAGCGTGTCGTCGGTAGCTCGACTGTAAAAAAAAAAACCACAAAGAATTTCATTTCCTCAGAATTAAATGGTTTTCCCGACATTTGCAAAGTGGCTCCCGTCCTTCAATGATTACCTCCACAGAGATAAAGACCCCAGGTGAATGCATTTCACTCCAGCATGTGCACACACTTGACGTTACGTGGACAGGAGAGGGTTCAGCCCATTCTTTGCCTCCATTACATTTTTTTTTTCCCTCAAGCTCACTTCTTTTGAAATAAAATCTTGAGCAATGGCAAACATGTCTGATGCCTCATTTTGAATTTATTGGAGTTCCCAGTGGTCTAGAAATCTCGAGTTATCTCAGTCTCATTTAGCAGTCCAATGCTGTCGGACATTTCGTAAAGACAATTTTTGTTCAATTTGGCGGAGAGCCAACTCTTCAGTCGTTACATTTCATCTAGATTTTTTTTCTTTTTAATATAATCAATGAATAGGTGGCAATTATCCGTCGCTTTTATGCCACATGCCCTCGCTAAAAGCGAATGGAACGCGTCCTTTTCAGACACTCACATCATTCTTTACTTTGTACCTATTAAAATTTTACTGAAAAAAGTCCATTCATGGTGGATGCAACATCATCTGATATTTATGTATAAATTATGTTTTTTTATTTATTGAGTCGGAGTTTTATTGAATGTGTGTTAGTGTCGCGGATACTGCGTTCTGCGTGTATTAGAAAATGAGAAAAAAAAAATTGAATCTAGACTGAAAGATTTTAGATTCTATTCTTTTTTTTTCGGATGAGAATGGACTTTACGTCTGTGCTGACGTCATTCGAATCGTACATTATTTTTTCACGAACATGTGTGGTAATTACTTGTTATACAGTAGCGCTTCGATTTTTTCAAAGTCATGGAAATTCATTGAGTCAATGAAGTTTTTGGGAGAGAATATGAATCAATTGTATTATGCACACATTGACTTTAGAATGGTTATCAATTTTTATTACACTTTTGATTTATCAATAATTCATGTGCCGTACATGTTTCTTGATAGGAAAATACAGGAAAGGCTGTCGATTCTTCCTGAATTTTATTCGAATGACAAAAAACATTGAATTTTTAAATGACATTTGAAAGTTCATTCCAACCTGTAATTGTTCCACTCTTTTGCGGTTTACCGCTGATAAAAAACTAATTACGATAGATTAATATATAAAAAAAATTGTTTTCTTGTCACCGCATCATTACCGATTTATTCCGTGAAAAAAATTACGTTTGTCCCACTTCTACTGATGATTATTAGAGCATTAAATTAAAGATTATTAAGACATTATAAATCAGTTACATTGTTGCAATATTTAATGATTCGCAGTTAAGAGAGAAAAATAATGAGGATTACACAAATATACTGGGAATAAATACCTGATCGAAACATTAACTATTCGTCGTGTCTTTTTAATGACTAAGTTTGCAGAGAAGTGACAATGAGTAATAGCCGTCAATAATTTTTTTTTATACTTTATGACTTTGGATTTCGAATTGCGAGTTGTGATTACTACTCGGAATTTAAAATCCAAAGTCATAAAGTATTTTAAAAAATTATTTATTCGATATTTCTTCACTTGTGCATTAACAAGGGAATGGTACCGATGTCGCAGTGTCAAAGTCATAACCCTAGACCTCACGAAGACTATTATTCTCGGAGTGAAACTCTCCAACAATTACGCATATTTCTTCATTAATTAAATTCTGCTTGTTCTGGTCAGTGGTTCACTTAATGAATCCTCCGTTCATTCAATGACTCTTCTCTAAATGTACATGATCTCTCAACAGTTTAACGAAGAATTTCAAAGTAATGCATGAATAATTGAATAATTCTTCGAGCCACTACAACTGCATCTAAAAAGTCATCACTTCATTAATGACTTCATCAGTGATTTCGTCAATTACTCATGATTATTATGATATTCGCTGATTTATTTTATTCTTAATGTCAAACCATCAACCGTGAAAATTCGCTCTCGTCCTCTCTTTCCTGATTTCTGATAAAAATCTCGATTTATATATCGATTCGCTTGTATCTCGTTCCTGGGAATAAAATAAATTCGAATCGAATTAATTTTTTTCCCGGATCATTAAGATCGTCGATTTGTGTTATCATAATTGATTCTGTAATGATTATCACTTACTTGCGAGTCTGGAGTTACTGGAATCACAGTAAACAAAAAATCCAGTTATAAAGGAACGATTTCCAAGAAATAGACATTTTTCTTTAACACCTAGTGGTTCTGAATCTAGTTCAACTCCTTTGGAGTCTTCTCATTGGGCACAAAAAATCGTGCTCAATGTCATAGCACCTGTCTCGATCTCCTGATTTCAGAAATCTCAAGTGATTGAACTAATTGATCGTTGATTCCCTGTTTCAGGTCAGAGGAGTTTTGCTAATCGATACAAAACGCACGTCCACATCGCAATTATCGATTCTCACCGAAATACGATCGGTTACGATCGTGATAGGCAGAACTTCAAGAGAACAGGAGGAGGAATGAGTGATCGGAACCTCTGATTTTTCAGTTGGTGACTGTTCCATGAGCATCACTAGTATTGTTATCATACAATGTTGGGTGAAGTGACATAAACGATAAAATTAGATAGTGAGCAATTGCGATTATCACTGGATGAAAAATAGTTTCAATGAACTCTTGTGATTCTTTTTGAACGAATAGAAAAAGACTAGAGCAATACAAAACGAAACTTTGGTATTGTGGAGGAAGGAATAGTTTAGTGATTTCGAAGTCGGTCGGTGATTTTTATTGAGACAATTGAGGAGTAAAGCAATAAGTATCATGAAGTTCATGAGTCAGTTGTTTGGGGGGGGATCCCCCAAGAAGATGGGACGGCAGTACATGAAAGTTGGGAGAAATGCCCTCTTCGGGATTAGGAGCAAGGATGACGGCGAAATGTGCCCGGATCGAGTGCCAAGACCCATCAACGTCATCATCTCGAAGAAAGGGAAATTCAGACACAGTAAGTGTTTCATTTTTTTTTTTTTCACATCAGATTTTGAAAATTATCGATTATTTCTTGATAAGTTTGCGAGAAAATGAAGGGGTCATGCTTTTCAAGATAATTATTTTTTTCACCTCAAACGGTAGTTAACGGAATTGCAACATTGCGGGTAAAAAAAAATTGTAATCGGAATATTTTTTTTCAAATTTTTAAACAAATTCTGGAAAAATTTTGAGAAAATTTTTTTTATGAAAAAAAAATCGGAGAACAAAACCATTTTATTTTTGGGGAACCCTGACCACGGGATATCGAATGGTGCAATTTTATTAGTTGAGGGGGTTGGAAAAGTAATTAAAGTAATTAATTCGAGTGCAGAGTGTCTGGTTTGAAAAAGAAATGAAATTCCCCATAATAAGTTCTCAGAGAATCCTTTCTGAGTGAAATTCTTTTTCGAAATTAAAATAGTAAGCAAGAGGCGTTTAATCCGCGAATTTAATAATATGAGCATCGGCTGCATCTTTCATAATTACCAGGCGCGTGCCGAGAATTTTCAAGCATTTTTCTCTCTCACCTTTCAGAATTACTGAGATTAGCCAGATCTCAAGTGAGATAACGTCTTTGCATATGTTATGCTACAGAATTTTGTTGACGCAATCGTTTCAGCGGTGAATTTCATCACGGGCTAGTCTAATCAAAGCAGAGAGATAATTATCTCCACGAATCTTCGGTCATTTTTACCCGGAGGGAAATATTCAGTAAAAATAACGTAACAATTCACATAATCCGAAAAAAGGAATAATTCTCCGACAGAACGAGTGAAAATAAATCCGAGGCATTAATTTCTCGAGTTCATCACTGAGAAAAATACGAAATTCTCAGGTAATTTTAGCGTAAGAAGTGAAATTTTACACAAAAATTTCCGAAAAATTCTCATTACGCGTGAAAAATAAAAAATTCATGAAAGTTTGACGATTTCTATGAAGCCCGAGGTTTTCTACGTTCCATTCGATAAAATTATAGTTCAAAACGTAACTTTATTTCTCCGATAATTTTTCTTGGATTCATTTCCTCATGTTCTTTCGTCTGAAATCCCACGAAATCTTCTTCCTTTTTTGATGTTTTTTTAATCTGTTTTCCACGAAGCAATGAGGAAATTCCGACGTGGGAATTACTTGTTTTTCGGATTCCCCTGAGAGTATGAGAGTAAGTCTCAAAATATCCGAGACACATGTATCACGGGATCGAGGGAATTCCACCTAGTCCTCAGGAGAACGTTAGCCTTGAGTCATTCACGCAATTTCCAAGATTAACTCCCCCCCAGATTTTATTGGTGTACTTTCGCTTAAAGAGGAATCATTTGTTTCGTTAATTAATTACTGGTCAACTGTTCAGACGCAGACGGTGTTGCGTCATAAGGGCGGATTACAGGTTGACCGAGAAAACCGGAATTTGTGACCTAAAAATCAGAGGATAGTAAATTAACGGATTCATGTTCAACGATCAATTAAAAATGCGTCAACCAGTCCTTGCGCATAATTATTACACATGAATATTAAGGGAAATACTTCTGTCAGATGATCGTAGGAGAGCCTCAGGTGATATGGTCATGATTTTATTTTAATTAGTGAAGTAGCAATTAATACTGTTGCATATCTTTCTCGGATGGCAAAATCACTATCTAAAATTTATAAAAATACGATCGAAAATCATTACCAAATTATCTAATTATTATGAGATTGAATGTCAAATTGATGGTTTTAAAAAAATCAAATTTTCAATCATCTAAGAACGGAATAAAATTTCATTTGATGGTGTAAATTGTTATTAACAATTATTTTTCTGCATTATTCACGTTCTTCTATTTTTGGAGAATATCAATAGACTAATTGCTAAATAGTTTTACTTATTTTACTTATTGATATACGTTTTTTTTTTCATAGGCACATGTTAAAAATTAAAAATGAAAATTTCAGTTTTTGTTATAAATAAAAAACGAACATTAATCGCTGAGTGCAATGGAGAGAAATCATGAGGCAATTGATACATTCTGTGGAAATAAAATTTATGTGTGTAATTTTTTTTTACTGCACTCAGGAGTGATTAATATCGGTTTTTTATCTTTCACTCGGAGGCAAATTATTATCGCAATTATTTTTTCAACTTCCACAGAAAAAATTCCTGATATATGAATATCTGGAAATTCTGTGTTGAGAATTCCTGAATTTCGTTAATTTATAATTAGTTTGATTATTCTCTCATTATTAGAGGGGAATGGTGGATGCATTTTGTACTGACCTTTGACAATCAGTAGAATTTAATTCTATGCATCAATGAAATTTAAAATATACACAAAGAAATTATTTTATCAACGTTGTGCCAAGATGAATGGTCCAGCTGATCGAATATTCATTGATGATGACATTTCCTGAACCTTGAGAATCAGCTACCTAGGAATATTATAAGGATCGGTCCAGCCTACTCTATTAGTCACGTGTCTTTCGAATTTATGACCATCGTCTGCCCTCCGGTCCACATTTTTGTAAAACCCCTCGTTAAATCGGGATTCCCGGCTTTTCGTCTCAATACCGGAACTCAGTCTGACATTTCTATATTTAATCTGTTAATCGCCTGGACTATTTTCGTCCTATTACCATACGAAGCGGTTGAGGTGATGCAAAAATATTGCACAAAGGAAACAGAAATGACATCATAAAATCCACTAGATCAAATTTTCACAGTTTTTCACTCACACCTTCTCGATATCGCAGATTTTTCTTTGGTTATTAAATCACCATTAATCAGTCGTATAACCTTTTTGCTTTGGATTTTCCTGACCTTTCGTAAGAAAAGGAGCGTTATCCGCATAAATGGTCTGGCTGCTTCTTCACTGAGTCATACGATGGGAAATTGAATTATTCGACTGTAAATTTCAGATCAACTTTTGTTAAATATTTGCGAAAAGTCTGAAGATCGAAGCGTTAAAGTCCTTGACTTTTCCCCAAGCAACTCAATTTGATAGTCCGTGATACGATAATTTTCTGACGAAGGTGACAAATCCAAAACAATTCCACAATTGAGAAAAGTCAATGAGAAAGCGTTGAGGAATGCACACGTCCTTGCACCGAGTGTATGAGGCTGAGTTACAAAATCCCACCTGTCCAAACATTTTTATCCGCAAAAATTGCAAAACATCTGAGAGGCCAACGCGCTATTATTCAGAGACACACGAAGCTGCACCTATAGCCGCACACATTAGAGCATTCACAGACAAAAATAAGTTTAAAAAAAAATCCCGAGGGTGGTATAGACACAACTCAGCATGTACATGCGAATACAGATGCATGAGACGCCAAGATATTTTTGAGATCACTTTCACTAACTCAGCATTCCGTCGAAGACCGAAGCGGACGCAACCGATATTTTTTACTTCGAACCGGTCCTTCACTCAAATTTATTCGTCACCTAGTCAAAGAGTTTGGTTATCACCGCTGATTAATGCTGATATAAAAAGGAGAAAGGAAATCGATCTCGATAGATCTCGAATCAGCGTAAGTGTAAGACCGTAAGACGAAACCGAACAACCACCGACAACCACCGACAACGACCGTCGTCGTGGGAAACTCTCAAATTTTCCGAATAAATTCACCTGCGGAGGAAATTTTACTTTTTGCGATATCACTTGTCCATCGCGAGATATTCAACGTGGAAAATTCTTCCCAATTTTCATGAGAATTGACCATTTTTCTGCAATATTTAACATAAATTTTGATAAATAAAAAATTAGACCGAGGGGAAATTATTGCACGATCTCGAAAATCTGGAAGTTATTAAATAATAAAATTCAATCAACAATTTGTGTAAAAGATGATAAGATGTAAAAGATCATGTGGCGCCGAATTTTCAGTTGATTTTAAAGGAAAAATCCGCAATTACGTAGGTGTTGAATTAATTATTAATTTAATAATTACACCTATTGGTGCTACCGGCAGGACATGTAGGCAGATTCAGGCCATTTTACTCGACCTAACAGTTCTTCGTAAAACAGGTTTGATAAGCAGCTCTCAAGTTTTCACAGTGAAATGAAAAATAGGTGAATGTTTTCCCCTTTTCTCCACAGGTGTAAATGCATTCAGGGAAAAGAGTATTTCAGCCCATAGTTATAAATATATAATTAAAGGTGATCATGGAAGTATGTTGTTCATGGCCAAGAGTGGACTTGGGAAAGAATTTAACGTGACAAGGGAATTCATTGCGCGTATGCTGTACCATTTGAAATTACACCAAATGTTGCAAGATCTTGGTAATAAGTCGGCGGTTTTTCCACTCTCGCATGTTTGTATTTGAGTGAATGTCAATAACGATATGCCTGTGGAAATGTTTTTAGCAAGCTTTTAGGTTGTTGAACGGTTTTTATAATGATTTCGCCACTCAATGGCCGCTCCAGATTGCTGGATAATTAGTTCACGGGGAATAATAAACCGACCGCTTCGACCACTTTGTCACCGCTTTTTTAGAAAAATTAGTGGAGATAAATGAAGACATAACTGTGATTTTTATCATGATTATTTCTGTAGTCTCATTAAATTCACTGTAAAAATATTTAATTTTATTTAACGAAAATCTGAGCTGAACAAAAACGCTAGGTTTTTGCGTCAATCGAGGAAATGATTTTCTAGAAAATTTAGGATAAAAGGGAAAATTCAGGATGACAGGGAGGAAAAATCTTCAAATCAATTAACAAATTTTTCTTTCAATTTTTGATTTATATGCAAAATTATCGAGAATCCACCGAGTGAGGGGAGTAGAAAGTTTAGCAAGAGTGAAACAGGCTGACCCTGATACAACAATTCATCTTTACACTGTAAGACGGAAACAAATAAATATCCATGAGCTTCCAACCCACAGCCCCACGAGTAATTCATGAAAATACGATTATTCAAAATTAATCCCTAATCACTGTGAACAAAATCAATTAATCACCGGCATTCGAATTTTCTCTGAGATTTAAAACTGCATTA